GTATTCTGCTTTCATGGCATGTTTGTGGCTGCCAAGTTTCAGCTATAGAAGCACGCAACATCCGGTAGGTATCCCCAGTCGTTCGGGGGTGCAAATCGGGCTTAAAATCAGCCTTAAAATCGTCTAGTGTGCAGCCAGCCTTACAAAAAATGCCGTGCACACCGCCACGCGAACTGAGGTCGCGCGCACTCAAAGCGAACTTCCACCAACACCGCGATGACGTTATATTTGCGCACCCAACCAAACTTTTTTTTTTTGTTATTGAACTTTTAAAGTTACAAAATTCAACAGCAAGTTCTTCACATATTTCTCATATTTACACATTTTGTAAGTACAAATTGAGACAATTTTAATAAAATAAAAAAACAATAAAATAATAATAAAAAAATTAAATAAAATGAAAAAAAATTTTTTTTTTTAAAGACTATAGATTCTAAGTAAGCTCAAATGAATATGACTTTTCTAAAAGGAAAATATTTATTATTGATCTGTTTTTGTTATTAGGGAAATTTTATATTAATCAAACTAAATGGAGTAACTTAAAACCCAATTTTGCTCATTTTCAAGCACCCAAGTGAACTTGCTGACACGTCGAGTATAAATCAGCCTTAAGTGTGTCATATGCAGCGCACAGGTCAATAATGTTATTGTTTAATATAAATATAAGTGCAGACAATTGTTCTACAGTCAAGGCTAAAATGGACAAAGAGTTGGATGTTAATGCTTCAAATACGCAGTCAAATCCAACCCTAGATAACACTCATCAGATAAGGACTCTCCTCTAATGTAAACAGACCACTGTTATCCCATTTACAAACCCTTCTGTAAAGTATATGAGTCTACAAAAGTTAAGATTATTATAATAACAACACACATGGCCAAAACATTAAACTGATAATTCAACAACCCCAATGATTTCCACAATGTGGAAAACATGGATGGAATTGTGGATTGTCACAAGAATTTTAGATTTATAAATCAAAATTATGCAATGTTTTGTTGTGAAGAAATTGGTAGGTTTTCATTTGATTACATTTTTAAAAGGTTGATTAAATTATTTTTATGAATTAATGGTGTTAAAAACAGTTTGTTTGTTTTTTACAATAAATCTACATAAAATCATAAAACACAATTAAAAATTAAAAAGAGTTTAGGTGGAGGGAGGAAATAAAATTGATTTTAAATAACCTTAATATTATTGTTTAAAAATGTTTTAATTACATTGATTAAAGTTTTAGCAATTCAATTGATCTATAGCATGCTTTTTGATGATTGAAATTAATTAAACCATTAATACCACATCCAGAAAAAATAAAACAGAAAATGCAGAATCACAGAATTGATCTAAATGATGCTTTTGATCCAGTATAGGCTACTAAATAAATGCTGGGTGTTGAGTAAATACCAGAGGGACTGCAGTATGATAAACACTGGCATTTAGCAACATGTGGTGTGTCAAACCTTTGCAGCCACTAGTTGACCGATGACAGTGAAGAGTTTTTCTTGGACACTGACTATAACTATTACGATAAACCCTTTTTCCAAACAGCGCAATCTACCTTGACCACAGAAAAAACATTACAACGTAACAGCTCGGCAACTCATCTAGAATTCCAAGTTTACCATTTTTAAATATGCTTTTTCCTCGGTCACTCATGTGCTTGGAACTTACGATATTTATAACTCCACATGAAAAGAACATAAAACACAGCAGTTTTAAAATTCATGATTATAACGATAGACTGTACGTAATTTATGTTGTAGGACAAAACGTAAATGTTAACCATAGGCCTTATTTGACTAAAACTGCTATAAAAATCCACAGGAAATTCCCAAGGGAACCCACAGCTTAAAAATTCTCTTCCAGGTTGTAGAAAAGCAAACTTATCATTTCTATAAGGCTGAAACCACAGCCATAATGAATCCATTAGTCGTATCCAATAAACTAAACATTTTTGAACAATTAAAGTGGGGTGGATTCAAACTGAAATAACCTCACATATCAGGTACAAGACAGATCAGTCGCCATGTGGCTGGGCAGAAAAAGATATAGAAAATTAGACTCATGGTATGAAGGAATGATGCTATTATCCTTTTTTGCATATGATTAATCGGTTTGTTTTAAAAACCATATATTCTTGGTTGTCTCTCACCTTCTTGCAATACATTCCAAACAACTATCAAAGCAAATTTACACCCTTACACAAAACCTTTACCTTGAAATGTCAACAGATGCACTGAGAAAATCTACAGCCTGGTACCTTGGATCACACATGCAGTTTTGACGACCTAGTGAGGGGTTTGCAAATACTACACAATCCCCCCCAAAAAGCATGGAAAATCACTATAACTCAAAGCTACTTACTGCTTTCCATGGAGTGTTCATCCAGGGTTTATGTCAAAACTTAACAAGCTACTGTCGAACTATGCAACCCAAACCCGATCCTCTAGACCCCTACAGAACACCAGCACCTGAACTGGAGAACATCCACCCTTCAAACAGCAGAATAGGGGATTTCATATGAATATTAGCATCGTCTGACTGGACGGGCCAAGGGTCCCGTGATCCCAAGATCCCAAAACAGAGTCTGCTGCCTATAGACAGCTTTTTTGAACATTAGAGACTTGTGAGATAGACATGATGCCCAAAAACGCTGTCTAGGTAGGCAGCACACTAGGTTTTGAGAGCCAGCCCATCTGAATGTGACAGTAACCTATGGACATATAATAATAAACAGCCATCTTAGACATCAATCGGGTAAACAAATCTATGTGAGAGCTGCATATCCAGGAAGAAAGTGGAGTTTCCCCGTTATAGCTAAATTTAGATCATAAAGTATTGCCAAATAAAATAAAACCGAGATTTTATGACACATATTGACCTGCTGACATAGACATTCGGCTTTAAAACGATGAACTCTGCACAAATCCTACTGCATTACTGAAAGTCAATATAGTGTCGTATACGGCGGATACTGTGGATAAAAAAAACCTTTTAGTTTAAGCCCGACACATTCATCATAGCCATCTGTAATTGCACGGGCGTTTTACCTTCTGTCTTCATGTAGTTTAGCAGGCAGATATAAGAATCAGCTGGTCCGTCGGACGCGTTGTGAAGACACCATTAGTCTGAGTATTTCCTAGTTGCTGTGCTGTACAAACAGCGGGGTCTGTCTGTCTATAATGTGTATGCGTCTCTGAAGCGAAGGCGCAGCACTAGCGCTCTCTGTTGGGTGCAACACAAATTATTATGGTGCTCTTGAAAACAGACTTTGGGACGGCTCCAAATGATATATAACAGTTTCTGGGAGGTGTTGAAGTAATATTACCTTACGTGATGGTGTCAACCTGAAGTAAATTCTGTTTAAAATATTGTTAATTTTATACAGATTTAGCTTTATCTGAATGGATGGAATATTTTAAAGTGAAACACAAAATCATATTGCCACTATTCATCAAGGACATGTTTTTTGCTAGATACCTTTTGTTAGTTGGATATTACAAAAGACTAGCAGAATTAAATGTGAAATATATAGGCTACCTTAAAAGGATAGTACATCCAAAAATGAAAATTTTGTCATCCTTTAGCCTACTCACCCTCATGCCATCCCAAACCTGTACAGGTTTCTTTCTTATGTTGAACATAAAGGAAGATATTTTAATGAATGCTGGTAATCAAACAGTTAATGGCCTCCATTGACCCCATAGTGTTTCTTTCCCTACTATGGAAGTCAATGGGGACCAACAACTGTTTGGTTCTTTAAAATTCTTCAAAATATCTTCTTTTATGTTCAACATAAGAAAGAAACTTAAACAAGTTTGGAATGACATGAGGATGAGTAAATGAGGTGCAAAATGTAAATTTTTGGGTGAACTATTCCTTTAACAACTGTTTTCAAGAAAACATATTTTAGAATATTTCTTACTGCCAGTTTTGGCAAGTAGAAACATTATTTTAAAATCACCACTAATTTGACTTTGTGATCAAATAAATCTTACTATTATGATTTCCATCTTAAAAAAAAAAAAAAAATTATTAGGTTTTTTTTTAAATATTTTTTTACATGTATTTTTTTTATACTAGGATGTAGTCTATATGGTGGGGACATAAAAATGTACTCCATACCAAGGATTAAATATTAATGAGCAATGAAGACTTTAAAGAAATTTAAGTGAATAAAATCAATAACATCTTTTTAAAAGATAGCATTGTGTATGCCTATTTCATCTTAAAATATGACACTTTGGGCAGTTGGAACAGTTATGAAATCAGATGTACAGTAATAAGATTTTGTCAAAAATATTTATTTTTAAAAATAAAGCAATACAATATAATATGAAGTTACATTTCACTTTAAAATGAAAAGATACTTGAGAAACCTCCCCCGCCCCCCCATATTGATTTTATTTTCAGAGTGCCACAATGACTTTCACTATATTGCAAGTGCCTCAAAGCTTTTCATTTATAATGGGGTTACCGGAGAAATTAGTCTTTTGTAAGTTCTCCAATATTGCGATCTGAGGAGCATCAAAATAAATTGTCAATTCTAAACTATGACAATTAAAGCCTAAGGTGTGCTGAAGTCTTAATGCTAATTAAAAGTGCTTTCATGCTTTCAAAGTGCAGTTCATCAAACTCTGCAAGCTGATAATTTATCAATAATTTTCTTCAAAGATCACATAAAAACAATTACTACTAAGAATGTCAAGATAAAGACAACCATAGCACAGTCAAATTTAACAAAATACTTCTGGTTATGCAAGCATAACATTATACAAATCATATAAAAATCATACATACAAAATCGTATCTATCTATATACAAATATATATATATAAAGTACATATATATAAGTATTTCAGTGCAGTAGACTCTCTTAAAAATAGTGAAAACAGACATTTACGCACCAATGCATCCAACCAGCTTTTGGAGCCGTATTGTAACTTCTGTAACTATATTGTACAATTGTTTATTACCATATAAATTAAATCAGGTCTCAATGTAAACACAGGCTAAAAACAGCAATATTAAAACAGTTCACCACTCCAGTTTCATGTTTGCTTTGCTCCACATATATTTCCCCCCTCTTATGAGGAACATCTTCTCATCAAAACCACTAAACTTGATGGCCTCTTCCACACCAACATCCAGAATGGACTTTGACGGATCCTTCCTCCCCTCTCGACAATCCAAGAAGCGCATCTGCGGCATCAGATATGAAGGATTAAAAACTCTATTTATGATGATTGCTCTTTCTGATGATGTAGCGTAGACAGCATGATTATTAATAGAGATCAGAGATTATCAAGGGAGGGAAAAGTAATTTGAAGCCTGGAATGAGGCAAATTACTGCAGGCCTTATTATATTCCTATCCATAATCCCTTCACTTCTGATATGATGACATAATGTAATTGAAAAGAATCATTTACACTGTTCTTTAGACACTAATGACAACATAATCGAATATAAAAAAAAATCCTTCACATGGTAATGAGAAGACAACTTAATTGATGCTGAGAAGAAAATATGAAACCACTTACATATTCATCAAGAATCAGGTAAGAGTCTCTCATCTGTAAAAGAAAAATAGATGAGTAAGTAAACAATTCATATCAAGTTAACAGTAGGCTTTATATTCAAGTCCCTGGCACCTATGCTATTTTTATTTAAATTCAAATCTCGCCGTGCACACTTATAAGTCGTATAAGCTTTGGTAATGAATTGAAACTGAAAGTTTACTGCTGTATTACCATAAATTGAAGCCACTTTATCTTCCGAATTTAAAACGCTGATCTGAATTGAGCGAAAGTATGCGCTCTGTGCCTCAAAATTACCTTTTGATTAGACTCTGGAACTAGACACTTAACGCTCTGGTGGCGGTCCAGGAAGTCTTGGAATTGCTGATCGCTAATGATGAATTTCTCTGCCTCGCGGAGACTGTTCTCCCCTGCGTTTTCACCTTCAATTATCAGACACTGGAAGACCTGTGTGTACATTGCAATACAGCCTTAATAACGTGGTCAGCAGCCTGGTTAAAATGATAGAGTCTGCAGTAATGAAGTAACTGTACCTTCCAGCGCACTGGGTTCAGAGCAGTGATCTGCTCGGTCATATCTTCATCCACATTGTAGGTGTTAATAACGGAGTTGATTTTGAAAGCCACCTTATAGTCTCGGCACCAGTCACGAACTTTATGCAGTTTGTCCAGATGACTCTTTCTGCCCTGACCTCGACCTATGACTTTATTGGTGTCCTCGTTAAAACTGTCACAAGATACTGCCAGGATGTCCAAGTAGTCACCTATTAAATACAGATACAATTTAAATTTGTACATTTGTATGCAAATACCTTTGATATAACAATGTATTTTTCTGTAATGTATTTAGTAATGTATATATTCTGTTTATATAGTTTACAAGTTTGAGGTCTGTGAGTTTTTTTTTCTAAATAAGTTTTTAATGCTCACCAAGGTTGCATTTCTGTATTTGATCAAAAGGAAAAAAAAAACATAGTAATAACATGAACGATTTTATAAGAACATGTTTTCTATTCTAATATATTTTAAAATGTAATTTATTTGTGATGGCAAAGCTGTATTTTCAGCTGTCATTACTCCAGTCACATGATAAGTAATATGTAATATGCTGATTTGGTGCTCAAGAAACATTCCTTATTATTAATGTTGAAAATGGTTGATATGTGCTGCTTAATATTTTTTGGGGGACATATTCAAGATTCTTCAATGAACAGAAAGTATATGTATTTTTTGTAACATTTTAAATGTATTTTACTTTCACTTTTAATCAATTGAATGCATCCTTACTATTAGAAATTAAATTATTAATTTTATATATAAAAATATATTGTTATTATTATTATTATTATTATTAAAATATAAAATATTCAAAAAATCGTACCGACCCCAAACTTTTGAACGGTTAGTATACGGTGCAAATTTGAATGACATTTTTAGCTTACCCATATTTCACAACTATTCTTTTACTTATTGTGTACTCTGTTAGTTAAATCCCCTTAAGCAAAATACTGAAAATCATTTTTTGTTCTATTGTATGTGATTTTGTTGCTAGTGTTTTGGAACACAAAAAAGCTCAGGTTACTGTACATTTGACAGTGCAATAAAGCATCTCACATTAACAAAATTTAACCTACTTAATATTCTTAATTATAAGTTTAAGGCCTATATAATAAACGTTGTTATAGCCTAGGTATTTCCTAGTATTATTAACTCTACTAACGTGAAATATGTGTAAGGTTAAAGCCAAAGAGTTTAAAAGCAATATTTGCTGCCCTCTGCTGGTCATGAACGACTCTCACCGTATTTCTGGAACCAGGTTTCTCTGATTAGACTGCCATTGCTAACGATGCTGACGCTCGGCAGCTGCAGCTCCTGTTTGCAATATCGCACCAGCTCTCCCAGAAAATGACCTCTCTCGTGAAGGAAGGGCTCTCCACCAGAAAAGTTGACTTTTTCCATTCCTAAAACATACAATCGATAATATTAACAAAGTGTGAGAATAAAAACGACAGTCAGCTTTAAGAGAAAAAAGTTAACTTTTGTAATGTAGCCTAATCTTGTTGGTAACATTACATTATCGTTTACTGTCGTACTATCGTTTATTATTAGAAATTAACCCGTTTAATCCCAAATTTTTCCCAGACATGAACATATCCAGATGATGTGTCATTAGTAACGCTTTGAAATAATCAATAATTATTTTTTTGAATTTTTTTTTTGGAAAAGTGTGTGAAAAATTGTGTTTTATGGTCGGTCACAATTGTGACCGGTGGGATAAGGTGAGTACTGAATTAACATATTTCTGCAGTCATAAAAATGGTTATATATCTTAGACAAGCTATTTTAAACTGTTTGATCACATTCTAGGGTTATTATTATTATGCATAAAAAAACTTTACTGATAGGAACACTGAGATAAAAAAACAAAAAAAATCAACTCATTTCAAAATTGTTACTTTTTTTGTAAAATATAACATCACATTTTTTATATTAGTGCTACCAGTATTACAATATCAATATTGTACATTTTTTTGTAACATTTGAATTTTTAATTTAGTGCAATATTTTGTCATTGCAATATGTTAGTGTAATTTTCACTAGCAACTGCAATTGGATTTACAGGTGCATCTCAATAACTTATTGCAGGAAGTGCACTAAAACATTAGTCAGTAAGGTTTTTAGAGCTTTATAAATGAAAACCTTTTTTTTACGGTCACTATTGTGACCGGTGGGATTAAACGGGTTAAGTAGCATGCATGGATGCATAACTAACTAAATAAACAAACATAGGCTACCCCTTTGGATTGTGGTGTAAATCTTAGAGCTTTAAGTTAAATAGAAGTAATTTTATTTTAAGTTAAATATATTTTTACAACTTATCGTACACTGTCTCATTAGTAAAGGTTAGGCTACCTGCTTCTTTCAGAAGTCGTAAGCCTCGCTTTGCCTCTTCAATGGGCAAGACGAAAGAGGTCTTTGCAGTGTGGAAGCAAAATCCGCATTTGTAATTGCACTGCCGGGTAAAGTGGTAGTTTACACTGCTTGGAGTAGTCAGCTGAGTGCTGGAGCCCTCTTTCTGCTCTTTGGTGCGAGTCTTCAGGCGACTGATCTTTCCGACAGGTGTTTGTTGCACCTGCGTGCCAGATACCAGCATAAAAATCCATCCCAACAGGGCTGCTAAGCAGCTGTGGACGTTCTTGAAACAAAATTGCATTAGCATTGCTGCAAAACCAACTTGGTTTGATGTCAACATGGTGAAGATGTCTAGAATGAGGCTCTGAGAGCTCATACCTCCCTATTTATACGGGGCAGTCTCAAGTTGCTTTTCTGATCAGTTTCTTTTCTTGCTTGGGAGGACTGGAAAACGAAAGATAAATAGAATACTATCAGCTGAGTCAAACATAGGCTAGGCGTGGTGTTTTTTCCTCTTTATAGTCACCTGGATGTAACTGGATCGTTATGTTTTTCTCTTTAAAACACGGGGCAAATTATTAAGATACAGCTAGGTTTCATCTCCTTGTCATTTTTGGAATACTAATAATGATAGGCCTATTAATAATTGATATTTAGGTCTTGTCCAAACATTTCAACATTGAGAACAACAAAAGCAATATAAGCAATTAGGCTACGGCTGCTTTAGATATTAATTAAATCGTTTGTCAACAATTTTGACAACAATTGACAAGTCTTAAAGCACAGTTATTCATTGTAATAAGCATTAACAAGCAAATGGAATGGAACATGTATGGAAAACCTGCTTGAAACCAACCAATCTTGCTGGTCTGGTTCAACTAGCATATGTTTACAGAAAATGGCAATTTACACCGAATCTTTGTTGATTAATTGCGTAGGTTATGTAATCTGATTGTTGAAACGAAACTGCAATAAAGTAGGCTACTTGATCCTAATTTAATTATTAACACGCAGTTTATTTCTCCGTGCATTGTCTTGACAGACTAGCTTGTTTAGTGAATTAGCCTACTTTCGTTTTCGGATCTAAGTTTCGTTTCTCTGTAAGCGCTGTTCTCCAGATCAGCAAGAATGACATTTCTCTAGACATATATTCGCTAGTGTAATATCTATCACGGTTCACAATGCTAAAGAGAGCAATGTTTCGCTGTGGACAGCTGAGTTTGCGTGTATTCGCGGTGGAGTTTGATTTACGCACTCAACCTCTTTATTTCACGCTGAGCTCAAACCCACAAGAGCTTCATCATGCTCATCAGCAGCTCTTTGGAGATGATGGGAAGCTCTTCTCGCTACATGTCCACAGTGACAGCAGAATTGAGAAAGCGCAAACGCACGCCGAGATAAAACACAAGCTGTCCGTAACACTGTCGCGAGATTGCGATGTTTTTGAAGCGTCTTCGTTTATACCGGACGTCAAAAATAGCGTCGTTAAAGGATATTTTATACGAGACAAATCCACTACAACCCTCTCAGAGGACATATTAAAGACGCTGCAGCAGAGTAAATCAGTATATGTGTTTTCATACAAGCGCGAGGGTCAGTACTGCTGGCAGGAGCTGTGGTCACCTGTCGATGAAATACAGGAGTCAGTGAGGCAGTACATCACACCTGCAGCAGCAGCAGAGCATCACCCTTCCACACTGAACATCAGGAACTCTGATGTCTTCTACTGTATGGATGAAGCCTATAAAGTTCTTCAGGAGGTACAGTAGGTTATAGTAGTAGTTATACAGTAAATGTATTTTACTTACTTTTTATTTACATATAGGCTATATATACATATATGCAGTATATATTAATGCTGTCAAACGATTAATCACGATTAATCGCATCCAAAACAAAAGTTTTTGTTTACACAATATATATGTGTATACTGTGCATATTTATTATGTATATAAATACAAACGCATGTATATATTTATGAAAAATTCGTTGTTTATATATTAAATATATTTATATATAAAATATAAGAATATAAATATATAAATGTATATACATGTAAATATTTTCAAAATATATGCCTACACACACACAGGTTTGTTTTTGTGAATTGTGGGGACATTCCACAGGTGTAATTGTTTTTATACTGTACAAACCATATTTTCTATTGCCGTATTTTCTATTTCTAAATATGGGGACACTCAAAATGTCCTCATAAATCACCTTCTTGTAATACAAACGCATGTATATATTTATGAAAAATTCGTTGTTTATATATTAAATATATTTATATATAAAATATAAGAATATAAATATATAAATTTATATACATGTAAATATTTTCAAAATATATACTGTATGTGTGTATTTATATATACATAATAAATATATATTTTCTATTTCTAAATATGGGGACACTCAAAATGTCCTCATAAATCACCTTCTCGTTGTAATACCTATGTCATACCCATGTCATTATACAAATTTGTGTCCTCATAAATCACTAAAAAAGCACACACACGCACGCACGCACACACACACACACACAAACACTATATGCACATGCATGAAGACATGCATGTCTTTTCTGTCCATTATAATTAATTTAATGCACCATTGCTGAATTCCATATTTATAATAATAGGAAATGTTTCTTGAGCACCATATAAGTATATTAGAATGATTTCTGAGGAATCATACGAACTGAAGACTGGAGTAATGGCTGCTGAAAATACAGCTTTGCCATTACATGAATAAATGATACCTTAAAATATAATAATAGAAAATAGTTCATTTAAATTGTAACAATATTTCATAACAATTCTTTTTAATGTATTTTAACCAATTAAATGCAATTAAATCAGAGACTTCTTTCGAAAACATTTATAAAATCTGCCAACTCCAAACTTCACTGTGGGAACTAAGAACTTTTCACTGTACTTCTTCCCTTAGCAATGCAATATCATTTTGAATGCTGTTACATCCAAAATGATTGACTTGGTCTCATGAGACCAGAGTTCCCAGAAGTATAACTGTCACTCTTTTCATAACTTTTACCATCTCTGCATCACTTGTTTTGTATTTGTCTGCTCTTTTCCTAGCTAAAAAACTGCTCATCATGAAATGAAAGCTAAACAGTGAAGGCTTGGTTATTTCAGGAACTTTGTCAAAAGTCCATTGTTGTTGAATTTCTTTTAATTTAAAAAAAAATTTTTTTTTTAGTATTCTTCTTTTACCACGGTCCTCTTTTGTGCAAAAAAAAAAAAAAAAGTATTTGGCTTTATTTTGTAAATTTCAGGACAGTGTACTAATTTTTGCAACACAATGTTTTATCACTTTGATATGATATCTCCAAATATCTCCAAATGTCTTAAGAGTAATTGCTGGTCGGTGCTGATAGCCTTGTGGGCAGTGTGCCAACATACAGCCCCATTGTGCTTCAGGCATCCCGAGTTCGAATCCTGACTTGAGGACTTTTCCCAATCCTGCCCCCCTCTCTCTCTCCCACGTCAGTTCTGATCTGTCCTATTATAATAAAGGTGAAAAGGCCAAAAATAAATCTTATAAAAAGAGTAATTGCTGAATTTGTTAAGTTTCTGAGGGGTTGTACACATACACTACTTAAAAATAGTTATAATACTTAGTTATAATATATAAGTTAAAAAAAGTATCTAAACACCAGTTTTAAAAGTATACCTGTGTAGACTGTTTTACTTTGATGTTAAAATGAAAGTGTATAGGCTACCTAATCTAAGGTAACAATGAACATTGGGTTATTAATTAATCAGTGTAATTCAGAACCTAACCACAATGCAGTTCGATGTAAAACAATACATCTTTCTGCCCATCTCAGTGCAATGACATTATCCCTGAGTCAAAGGAAGTGCTGAAGCTTGTAGACGAACAGTTGGAGACAAGCAGGGCTGATGGATTTCCTGTCATTGTGATCGAGGGACTGGACGCCACAGGTTAACAATGAGCCTTTGATAAATACTTTATTCAGCTAATTAATAAGTATGCATTCAAACACAATATATATATTTTTTTACCAAGCAGAACGTAATGTCACATACACATTCATAGCTTCCAATATGATAAAAAACATAAACAAACAAAAAGTTTGCACTCTAAAATTCTGTTGATTTCTCTCCATGTGTTTCTCCATGTACCCAGGTAAAACTACTCTCACAGAAGCCCTGCGGGAGTCTCTGAATGCTACTCTGCTGAAATCGCCTCCCCAGTGCCTGGCTCCTTTCAGACAGCGCTTTGACTCAGAACCACCCCTCATCCGCAGGGCCTTTTATGCTCTGGGGAACTACATCACTGCTGCCCACATCGGAAAAGAGTCCTTGAGGGCTCCTGTCATAGTGGACAGGTAGAGATGTGTGCGCCACAAATACACTCACATGCTGTTTGGGCAGGAATGTAGCAAATATATGTTCTAAAGCTGAATTTGTGGAAAGTGAGGCTCAGTCAAATGTAAATTGTTATTTGAGAATACTTTAAGTATATAAAACTATCAGATTTCATTTATTTTTGTAATCAGAGCAGTATTTATATGGCACAAAAACAATAAGGCTATCCATTTTGGGTGGAATATATCTTTAACAGACTAGAATTGATCAGATTGGTTTACACTACACAAACGTCACTGTTAGTAGAAAACGTTAGTAGTAGCATTTCTACTTACAGTTAGTTCGTTCCCCAGCACGATTATAGACAACCCCTCCCCCCTTTTTTTTGTCTCTGTTAGGTACTGGCACAGCACAGCAGCGTATGCCATTGCCACAGCAGTTGGTGGAAGAGTTGAAAACCTCCCAAAGCCAGGCTCAGAGTTGTACCGGTGGCCAGAAGACCTGCTCCAACCAAACCTGGTGCTGCTCCTCACTGTCAGTCCAGAAGAAAGACTGAGAAGACTCAGGGACAGGGGACAGGACAAGACCGTTGAGGAGGCTGAACTGGAGATCAATCAACTCTTCCGACTTAAGTAAAACAATATTAATAAATTAATGATGAAATTTCTCTTAAAAAAAATGATTTTCCTCACTCTGACTTATTCCCAGTGAAACACAGGAACTCAGCTAAAGAGGTTTGAGAATTCATCAATCACTTCAATTAGATTTAAACAGAAGAACTCATTGTTGGTCAGCTCGGTGTTCACTCCTTCAGGAGATGGAATCAAGGGACCTTATGGAGGTATTAAAAGCAATCGATCTGATACAGGCAATTTAAACTCGCTTTGATTTGTTGCTGTTGCTTTTGGACACAGAAACGGATCATTAATTAAGAGTGATATGCTAGGACAAAAGTGTACACTGTAACTCAGATTTCAGTTCCAGATTCCTTAAAGTCTGTTTATTGTACTAAAATAATCAGCTAAGAATAAATGGTAATGCAATACAAATCTTTTAAATATGTTACTCAGGTTTCACTTCATTTTAAACAAACAGTTCACCTACAAATGAAAATACTGTCATGAAGGTAACACACTTGTCAAGTGTGGGGAAAAAATTAAAAACCAAAAAATGTAGTCCATATGCTATATTACAAGTCAAACAATATTATTTGTGTAACCAGACTGATGTTTCATTATTTTATTATTTTTTATTTGTTATTATTTATTTATTTGTAATTAATTAACTAATCTTTTTCACTTGTCAAAACATGGCACAATGTGTTTACAAACTATTCATGAGATTTCTATGGAAACCTATTTTGGCTACAGAATCAAAACAATAAAAAATAAATAAATACATAAATAAATATCTTTATAGTTTTTTTTAGCTTATATCTTGCAATTCATACTTTTCCCTTGCAATTCTGGGAATAAAGCTGGGAATAAAGAATTGTATCTGGTAAAGAAAGGTCTGAATTGTGAGATAAAATGTCACAGTTACCTTGTATTTATATATATATATATATATATATATATATGTCTATAGATAGATAGATAGAGATATATATTGATGTAAGCTTGCGTAACTTGTGAGTCATAATTGTGAGATAAAAAGTCACAATTACCTTTATAATTTTTTTTTTCTATTCCATGGCAGACGCTTTAGAGCAATTTCCAAAGAAAAAGGAAAAAAATAAAATAAATATAAAAAAACCCACCAAAAAGTAGTCCATACAATAAAATGTATTCCATGTCAAACTATTTGTTTTTGTTTTTTGACTGATTTTATAATTTGAATAGTTTTTTTCATTTTTGTTTTAATCTGGTTTACAAACTATTTATGAGATTTATGAGCAAAACACCAATAAATAAATAAATACAACTTTTTGAAATTTTTGAAAATTTAAAAAAACATTTTTTTTGTGTGAACAGACTGGTTTATTATTATTTTTTTAAATTTAAAATATTATTTTTTTAATTATTAATATTTTTTATCTGAAAATGTCAAAATGCTTCACAATGCATTTACAAACCATTTTGGAATCTTAACACAAACACTAATGAGATTTCAGAGCTTCGGTGGAGGGGAATATTATAAGTAAACATCAACCTAAATTTCAGTCTGAACACCAGAATTTGATAGTGAACGAAAGAGTTTTAATTTTTGGATTATTCAACTAATCTTTTAATTAGACATGTGATCTACAATAATCTACATTTAGCACACATGCACACCTTCTGCATGCATGCAGGCACCCATCTGCCCTCATGTGCTAAGAATACCACACTTATCCTATAATTCATTTATACGGTGAACACTGCATTTACCCAGTGATAGCAAGATTAATTAAAGGTTTTAGTAATTATGAGCTCAGTGAGGATATGGGCCGGGAAAGACGGAGTGACCCGTCTCTCTCACACTGATGCCTCAGCAGTGTGGAGAAGAGAGTGGGGTATATTCATATGGCAATTAATGGAGTCCTGTAGATGACTGTCAATACAGTTGTTTAAATGTCACAATTACAAAAATTAGGATCACTGTTTGTTCATCAACATATAAGTTAATAATTTCTGATGCTTTTAGATCTATGGATACAAACTTCACTATATTGTAAACTGTTAATAAATCCACATTGTTTTTAACACACAAAGTAAGTTTATTTCAATGAACTTGATATACTGTTCAACCTCATTCAAAACTATATCACAACCTGAATTTTTCATTCCAGTCTAAACTATTTATAGAAAAGACACTTATTTAACCAAATGCTTTAATCTAAAGTGATTTACAAATAAGGAGTGTAAAGAATCTTACAATAATCAGACATAAAAACAAAGCTGAATGCACTGAACCCTTTAAACAAACATTTGATCATATGTGCTTTTGAAATCAGAGTGTCAAACACAGGTCAGAGTGCAGAAGGTCTGTGCAGAGGGGAAAGGTAAGCCACCATCCTCCCCAGCAGGCCCCACGAAATCTACATCGGCCACTTCGATATTTCATTAGCACAACAAAGAACAAGTCAGAGAAAACCCTCTCTGCAATAATTAAAGATCCAGCAGGGATGGAGCCGCACAGCAGTCTGCGGTCCCCCCCGCCTAAGTAATAGATCAAATGAAAGCTGTCCCTATGAACATGAATAATGAGTGAAGTGTGCTGAGAGAGGTGGGGGTGGGCTGGAGTGGGATCTAGAGACCTGGCACTGACACCCTCCTTCTCTGGGACCAGAGATGCTGCCAACTGCAGTGGGGTGAGGGGGGGCGATAGAAGCCTATAGGACCCTATGGAAGAGATGGCGGGAGGAGGACCAGAGAGGCACTACATGTGTGTTCTGTGCTTCTGTAACACTAAATCTGCCAAATACACCAGATGATAAGCAGGTGACTTTAGATCAGCATTCAGATTACACAGTGACCTTCTGGGTGTTATGATGGGGATTATGATTTTGTGATTAGTAATGCTTTACAATAGAGTTGTATACATAACTATTTGCACATAAAATGTGCATTAAATTCTATTTTTGCACATCTCAGTAAATGTATATACTCTTGTTCATTGTTTTTAATAATGCTACATTATTTAATTTAATAAAACTCAAATGGACTACTAATGATTCTAAAATGGGTTGTTTAATAGTTTGTGTTTTTGAGTTGGGAAGTCACTTTGGTCAGAACAAGATGGTGATGTATCTTTTCTACAAAGGATTCAGAAACCAAACTCTACTTCTACAAAGTGATGAATAAACAGTGTGCATCAGTTGTATTTTTTGCTTTTTTATGTTTTTATTTAGTTTATGATAGTGATATTGAATAGACCCTTTTTACATTTCCAGGGTTCACAGAAGCGGAAGTCTTCATAGTTGGGTAAACTTCTAGAGTGGTGGGCAGAAACTACAACAAACTTATTTATTTATTTATTTTTGGGATTCGCATTGCACATATAGCATAAGAAAAAAATAATCCATAATAGCATTTCTATTACTTTGCAAAAGAGGAAAAAAATATTGAGAGATTGATTATGTTGACCAAAAGCAAGAAATATGTTCCTCTGTCAGCTTTTGTATTAGAAAATCTCATGCATTAAAGGGATAGTTCAACCAAAAATGAAAACTTTGTCATCATTTACTAATCCTTCCCTTGTTTCTATATGAGTGTATTTCTTCCACTGAACACAAAAGAAGATATTTTGAAGAATGTTGGTAACTAAACAGTTGATGATAGCCATTGACTTCTATATTATTATTTTTTTCTATACTTGGGAAGTCGACATCTAATGTCAAAATGCAAATCATGGAAGAATTTTCGTTTTTGGGTGAACTATATATCTTTAACTAGTTTTATTTAAAGTATAGTGTTATAAAATGCACATTAAGTAAGTATTCTGTTGTAATTGTACAATGTTGTTGTATTGTTAGCAAAAATTCTTTCATTCATTTCAACAAATTGCTGCTAAACCCAACTTCCAACTCTGAAACTCAAGACTTAAAGTGGCAGTCCGTAAGTTTTGCCTCTTTGATGCCATCTCTGTTAGAAACCTGCAATTGCAGTTATTTGCAGAATTATCTTCTTTATGTGGGTTGTGCATCGGCACAGCTCCTCAGCGCAGATGAATGCAATGTTTTGAGTTTATGTGTGGCTGTCAGTCAACCCACCAGTGTAAATATTCACTGTACTTTGGAATTACAGATACAATGTCTTGGAAGTATGTCCAAAATAAGAAGTTTCACCGGAAAATGTCATCTGAACAAGTAAGTAACATGCCTGCCACATTTGTTCTGACCAACTAAAAAAATGTTTTACAATAAATCCTGCAACCAATGATAATGAAATCTAACGATTGCAAGGCTGGCTCAGATTATGCCAAAACATGCAAATTTACACTTTGTTCTCAAACTGTTAATGTTAACAACATCAGCATTGCAGAAATGCCCCTGAACCACTCAAATTAGAAAACATTATTAGCCTACATTACCATTGTAAATCGGGCAAAGGAGATAGTTTTGAACAGTGATTGGTTATGTGCTTGCTCAATAATTGATTTTGGATCATTTTTCACCAAAAAAGTTACAGAATGCAGCTTTATAGAAGTTCAGGGTTTCCCACTAATAATCACAGCATTGTTTAACTCATAAATGCAATCTTTCTGACATAACTTACACCAAAAAGCACCAGTAAACCTTAATAGTGTGATTTAATCAAAATTCGTTTTGTATCGGTCTGAATGGGACTTATTTTGTAAAAACGACAAGCCGACTGTGCATTTTGAATAAAAAACAACAACATTTATACCGAATTTAAGGAATAAATAAAATAAATGGACATTAAATATTGATTTAAAAAAATATATTTAATTACATGAGAAGAGACTGTGAAGCACTGAAGAAGCTGTGGTTGCCTGGGACAGTGATCAGTTATAGAGTTTAGCACTCATTATACAAAAACACTTGACCACAGGGTGCTGCGACTGACCAATCAGAATCAAGTATTCCAGAGACCCACATGATCAGCCCTTGTTCATATGAAAATGTGGGCAAATATAGACTTGCATTTATGGGTAGATATTCTTAAACAGACGCACAAACAGAAAATGAGCCG